GAGAGTAAGTTCCCTGGGCACCAATCATATAGAATCAATGATAAGACCTAGTATATTCTGATGGGAATAATGCAATGTAAAATATGGGATGGATAGATCCACCTTCACCATACACAGGAGCTTATATTGGTGGAAGAAGTATGGTATAGTGAGATGGGAAAAGAGTACCTTATCCAAGTCTGCCTTTTACAGAGAGATTGAGACATGGACCCTCTTGTAGAAAAAGGAACCGTATAAAAACATATCTTGCAGAGATGAAAGAATTGCCTGGGTTTGAATACTGTTGTCCTTAAAGCATTGTGCCCATGTCATTACTTTGGAACTTTGTAACCGCAGGTAGCTGCCAGCTGATATAAGTGCTGCGAGAGCAGGTTGTGTCTGTCTCGATACTTAGTGAAGCTGCAAAAATGCTGAACTCTGCGTCTAGAATAAGGTCATGAGGGGGTGGGAAGGTGTATTGGGGGAAGCATAAAGGGGAACAATGGGGGCTTTCAAAATGACCATGATGTATTCCTTAAATTCCTTAAATGACCATGATGTATTTCTTAAAGTCAAAATTAGAAGCCAATAATAAGGCTGTTTATGTAATCCTGGTAAGAAAAACTCTGTTTAAGTTTAAATAAAGATGGCCTGAGCTGTTCGAGGCCATCTTGAGTCCAATCCACTTGGTGGTCAGAATTTTTCCTTGTGCTGACGGCCCTTCCCTGTCTTAGGACCTGAACCCGAGTCGAGGCTGGACCCTGACAGGTTTTTATTTAAATATTTTTTAAATATTTTTTATTTCTAAAATTTCCATTTAGCTTTCCTTTATGCTTTCCATTTCTTTGCTCAGGTATTTTATTTTTTCATTTGTTTCTGGGGTATTCATAATTACTTGAAGCATTTTGATAGTTTCTCTACAAGATTTTTTATTTAATACCAGCATATGCCTTATCTCTGCTGACTCTATCAATTACTTTTGCCCATTCAAGTTGAGCACTTCCTGGTTCTTGGTCTAACAATTGATTTTCCCTGGTATCCTAGACATGGGGCAATATGTCGCAATAACGTGGAACTTATTAAATCCATCCCGGCAGGCCTTTTCTGATAATATACCACTAGGGGAAGGAGATGTTGCCTTACTGCTTTCTGGGGATGAACTATAGCTTCCCCATTCAGCCTTCCTTGATACATAGCAGGAGTGTCCCATTTCTGCTGAACGAGGGTGAAGCTCCCCACCAGGCTTTCCACCCCTAGAATGGGAAAGGGTCACTTTGTTACCATTCCTGATGTGGACTCTGCTGACCTCGGATTGGCACTCAGTGATCAAACTCTTGACTAGGCTGCTTCTGACAGCATTGACTGAAGAAGAGGGGTGCCCCATCATCAGGTGGGGATGGAAGTTCATGCTTTCCATATGTCCCCCATTATAAGAGGGCTCAATTCCACTGAGAGGAAAGTCCCAGATCCCTCCTTGTCCTTCACTAACAGGCTGCCAGTGGAAAGGTGAAATAGTACCTGTTAGTTTAAGCTGGACAAGAATCCTGTCTGGGCTTCTTACTCAAGTCCTTGGTGACAGGGGTAGGGGCCCTCAATTTTTTTCGTATGGTATGTGGCAGGAACAGTGTGACTGTTATCTTTAAAAGTTGTCCGTCTTGTTTAGCTGCCCATTTCCTAAGTCTTTTGTTGAAAACAACCTTTTTTCCTATCTTGGGGTTTGATATCCGTGTCCACAGATGTTTTCATATTGCTGGATTCTCCAAGAACCCAGGCTGAATATCAGTGGAAAGATGTTTTACAAATCATGTACTAAACTTAGCAGGAAAATAAGGGAAATGCATCCACTTCTCCTAATAGAGAAATCCCAAGGGCTCCTTCCTTTGGTGCTAGTGAGAATGTAACCCCAGCCTCACCCCCAATCATACATATCAAAACCTCAGGTCTACTCTCCTTACCCTGTTCTCTCAAGCTTTTCAGAAGAAATTTAGGGACCTTGTTTGCTCTCCCAGAAAGTCCCATTATTCCATACTCTCTTTGTATATGTGCATGGCATCAGCAACCTTGGTACTGAAAACATGTTTAGGAGAGAGGGTCCATCCCAACTCTTCATTGTCACCACAACATAAAAAGAACTGCTTATTTTGTGTAGGTTGGATGGGCAGGAAATCATGTAAGTTCATTCTGACTTGCTGAATTGAAGTCAGCAAATACCCACCAGGGTGACTGACACAAAAGCAAACACTCAAAAATAGTGTTTCTTCTTCTGATAAGCCTCTATGATCTTTTTATTGTGGGGGGGTAGTTCAGGCAGGGTCTCACTCTGGAGCCCAGGATAGATGTTTTAAGCAGTTTCCTCCCAGATTGAAATATTCCAACTGAAAGGAAGCACCTTAAGCTACAAGGTAAACAATTCTAACTAGCTTCAGGAAGTCCCTGAAACTGACCAGATTCATTAGGCCCCTCACTCCCAGAGTAAGCAATAAATACTGACAGTTACTCTCAGACAAACTGCCAAAAGGAATCTCAGACAAACCAAACGACAAAGAAGATTCTGAGACCCATCAACTGTCTAGAAGAAGCAGAAACCAGCACAGCTGATTCAACTGGAGGGGAGACTCTTCAAGCTGCTGAGCTGCCTGCAGAGTTCACAGTGTGTTCTAGGTTCGCAGCTTTTGTCATTCAAGCTGGGATGGGCTTTGGTGATGCAGCTGTCTTTGAGTTATTTCTGCTCCTGTAAGTGACCCCTCACCCACACTTCTGTAAGTAATTCCAATAAAACTCATTGGTTCACCAAGTTAGACTTTGGTGGCATCAGAACTCACTATGAAACTCCAGTTGGCTTTGAATACATGAGTGCTGGATTTACAAACATGAGTTACTATGCCTACTTTCTTTTAAGAGTTAGGAATATAGGGCTGGGGAGACAGCACAGTTGGTAAAATGCCTGCCATGCCAGCATGAGACCCTGAGTTTGATTCTCAGAACCAATGTAAAAAAGCCAGCTGTAGTGGCACACTCTTGTAATCCCAGTGCTTGGGAAGTAGAGGTAGCCAGCCTAGGCTAACTGAGACCCTATCTCGAAAAACAAGATGCCTCTGAGTGGTTATTCAGGAACTGGTAGGCAGGACAGACCTGCCCATTTACACATGCATGTATGCATGTATATGTACACACAAAATACACACACACACACACACACACACACACACACACACACACACACAATATACCAGTAGGCCTCCCTAATTAATGGAGGTTAAATAAGAACCATAATACTGATAATATTTATCTGTTATTGATTACCTACTGTGATCTGGCATTGCATTATGGATTTTATACACACATACACACACAATTTTATTCATTTATTTTTATTTTATGTGTATGGATGTTTTGCCTGCATATATGTGTAGCATAGGTGTGACTGACGCCCACAGAGACTAGAAGAGGCTGTTAGAGCCCCTGGGAATATGGCTACAGATGGTTGTGAGCCATTATGTGTGTGCTGAGAATCAAACCTAGGTCTTCTGGGAGAGGAGCTAGTCCTCTTAATCACTGAACCATCTCTTCAGCCCTGACTTTACAGATATTTATAATAATTTATATGAGGTAGGAATAATACTAACTTTTTGAATGTAGACAATGTAGGTTTTGAAGTTATACCATGAGTATATTGCTAAACTGTAGTGAACAGGGACATGAAGGTCCAATGCTGTGCTCCATTTACTGTATGCTATAGTTTAGATCTAGAATAGCCCTCAAATGTTAAACTCCTGGTCCTCTACCTATGGAATTACTGGGAGATGGTGGAAATCTTTACAAGGGAGGGCCTAGTTGCAGGAATTTAGGTTACTGAGGTGTGCCCTTGTAGGAGATACTAGGACATTGGTTTATTATTTTCTCTCTCTCGTAACCCAGTTATGAGGTGAATGGTTTTGCCTTGTACTACTGCCATGATCTGGTACCTCATCACAGACCCTAAAGCAAGAGGGCCAATCAATCATGGAATGAAACCCCCAAAACTAGCAGCCAAAATAAAACCCTTTTTTCTCTCTTTTTCCATATGAAAAAGAGCAATTTTAGCCAGGCGGTGGTGGCGCACGCCTTTAATCCCAGCACTCGGGAGGCAGAGCCAGGTGGATCTCTGTGAGTTCGAGGCCAGCCTGGTCTCCAAAGCAAGTTCCAGGAAAGGCGCAAAGCTACACAGAGAAACCCTGTCTCAAAAAACCAAAAAAAAAAAAAAAAAGAGCAATTTTATATAGTTAAAATCATCAAATTCAGGTTATTATTTAAAGGCTTTTTATACCTCTTACCCTTGAAAAATAATTAAGGATAACTATGTATCTAATATAGTACAAACTCTATTAAAATGAGTAGAAACCTGACCTTTCACTAGAGGAAAAATACAAACTGTTAATTTTTTTATTGTATTCTCAACCAGCAACAAAATAATTTTTGAACTGGGGGACCATACCTTATTGGAGGAGGGAATGGGGGGTGGGGTGAAAGGAGGGAAGAGACGGGGATCTGTGGTTGGCATGTAAAATGAATAAAAAAATTCCTTAATAAAAAATGAGTTTGAAGCAGAAGAAAAACCAGTAAAATGAATACAAGTTATGTATCAATATACTTTTCTATTAAACAAACACTAATATTAGGGCTAGAGAGTTGGCTCAGCAGTTACAAGCATTTGGCTGCTCTTCCAGAGGGCCAGGGTTCAATTCCCAGCACTGGCATAGTGGCTTACAACCATTTGTAACTCTAGTTCCAAGGGATCTGACACTCTCTTCTGGCCTTGGAGTGTACAGACATAAATGCAAGCAAAACACTCACACACATAAAATAATTAAATAATTAAAAAACAAATATTAAAATAAGGAATATTTTGAGCTCTAAAATAAAGCTTTTCTTTTAATAAGCCAACCGTCTCAGGTATTTGTTATAAAATGGAAAGCTGACTAACATGCTATACTTCCTCACAATATGTGCATTAAAGTATACCAATAATATCCATCACTTACTTCATTGAATACAGCATGTAGAGTATATCAGCTTGCTCTTGTAAGCTTGAGGTTTCCTTCAACTGTGAAACCAGTGACTGGAAGTCCACTTCCCCAGACTGGTCTCTAGGAACATGTACTTCTACACGAACAGAAGGAACCTTTGGAATAAGAAGTGATAAAAAGAAACAAAGTTAACAGTGCTTAACTGGATGATACCCTAGAATGAGTTATCTTTGTACCTCTAAACTTTTTCCATGAGAATTTTCTAAATGTTGGCCAGATGTGGTAGGTAGTACACAACAGTAAGCCTAGCATTTGGGAGGTTAAGGTAAACAGATCAGGAACTCAAGGCCATCCTCATCTACATAGTAAGTTTAAGGCCAGTCTGGCTTACTTGAGAGTCTGCCTCACAATATTTTTTCCAAAATGTTGATGAAAAGCAAAGCCAAAACAACAAAACCAATAAGCCCTATGATAGAGCAAAGTAGTTCTCTACATTTACTTTAAGAGTGAACTTAAAAAAGACATACGTCTTCATTTGATGGTGTTTTGTTTAACACCATGTATTGGCTTGTGTCAACTTGACACAGGTGGAGTTATCAGAGAGGAAGGAGCCTCAGTTGAGGAAGGGCCTCCATGAGATTCAGCTGTAAGGCATTTTCTCATTAGTGACTGATGTGGGAGGGGCCAGCCCATTGTGGGTGGAGTCATCTTCTGGTCCTGGGTTCTATAAGAAAGCAGGCTGAGCAAGCCATGGGCACAAGCCAACAAACAGGCCTCTGCATCAGCTCCTGCCTCCAGGATCCTGTCCTGTTTGAGTTCCTGTCCTGACTTCCTTTAGTTATGAACAGCAATGTAGAAGTATAAGCTGAATAAACCCTTTTCTCCCAAGCTTGCTTTTTGGTCATGGTGTTTTGTTGCAGCAATAGAAACCCTAACTAAGACACACCAGAAACCATGCTGGCTAGTTTTATTACTTTCCTTATAGATGGTAGATTTTGAAATACCTGTCCTGGCCCCGAGGCCCAGGGTCAGGCCAGAAAACACCCAAGTGCCTGCCCATTTGGGCCCTGCAGCTATAATGAACAAATATGTGATGGAGAGATGGGAAGACAGAGTATGTGGTGGAGAGATGGAAGAGAAGCAGAGCGGTTTGTGTGTTGTGGAGAGAGGTGAACTGGAGACCAGATGGCGGTAAGAAACAGGCTGATATGAGGAGCCTGCACAACCATCCGATGCCTTGGTATCGCCAAGGCCTGGTTGCCACTGAGGGCCATGTTTGAGTCTGTGGGCCTACAGCAGCTGGGGACTGTGTTGATATCCTGTGTTACCACTGAGGGTCGTTCAGATGTCTGTGGTTTGGGCTGGTGCCTGGGGCCATGCTGATGTCCCCGGGCCATGTTGCTGTGGGTGGGGTGTGTGTGTGTGTGTGTGTGTGTGTGTGTGTTGTCAAACTGATCTGATTGGCCTGTGCTACCACCTGAGACTATGGTGATATCTAGGCCACTGGGTCCATGCTCCTACTGAAGCTGGGATCTGTGTTGATGCCTATGGCCTGTGTTACCATCAAGGGCCATGTAGATGTCTGTGGCCTGGGCTGCCATGTTGATGGCTAAGGCCTGGGGGCCATGTCTGGGTCTGTGGTCCTACCTTGGCGGGGTCTGCTTGATGTCTAAGGCCTGGGTTACCACCAGAGGCCATATGGATATCTGTGGTCTGGGCTTCTGCCTGAGGCCATGTTGATGTCCAAGCTCTGTGCTGAGCTGGTTTGCCCCTCACTGGGGTGGTGTGGGACATCTGGCCCCAAATACATGGGCACAGGAGGGCTACAACCCAGGCCAAGATCCAGGACCTGGAGTTGGCCCACCCCAACATCTACCTCATCTATGAGCTGCTGGAGTGTGTGAAGGACCAGTCCTGCAGAACCAACGCCACAGGATCTCCACAACTCAGGGCATCTGCAGGATATCCGAGAGGAGTCTCGGTAAGGGTCCAGTGATGATGGTGTACCAGAAACCAGAGGCCTTGAACCAGCCAATGACTCATTGCATGAACATTTGCAAGTAAAGCTGTTTGGGCAAATGGTTGTACTGCATGACACACCATAGCTTCCAATGCCACTATGATGAACGAATATGTGATGGAGAGGCGGGAAAAACACAGGAGCAGAGCGGAGCGTGCGCTGTAAAACTGGAGACGCCACAGCTGTGACTGGTATGAGAGAAGGCTGTGATTGATAGAGGAGCAGGTGCCCAGAGGGGTCAGCCAGATGTTTTGTTTTGTTTTCCTTTTTTCTTTTGTGGGGGAGGCTACAAGGGTGGAGGGCGGACATGGAGGGACTGGGAAATGAGTGGGATTGGGGTGCATGGTGGAAATTCCCAAAGAATCAATAAAAGAGATGGCAGATTTTTACAAGCAGCTGACAGAAATTGTACCCAGTTACCTGGTTATCTTGTGAAGACTGAGGTGCGTCAAGTAAATTGAGTGAAGGGCGAGAAGGCTGAAATAACTTCGTAGGGAGGTACATGTGAACATCTGCAAGAAGTTGACAGTTATGGAAAAAGTTAAGTAGGAAACTAATAAAACACATGGTTGACCTCAGTAACAAGGTAACGTATGGCTCAGTTCTTTACAGAACAAGAATGAAAGTTTCCTTCGTTGATATCAATAAAAAGAAATGTGGATATTAGGTACTTTTTAAAATGTCCAATTAATCAATGAATATTTTTACATTTTTGAAAGGATTTTCTGTTGTACCATCAACTAGGTATATGAGATATTAACATGATCACCATCACAATGATGCTATCACTGATATTTTCATATAAATGTATGAAAACACCTAAGAGAAAGAACTCAGTTACATCTTACTTTTTCCGGGCTTTCCTAGGTAAACATTTGATTTCCAGAGGTTGTGACTGGATGACTCTATCTAAGGAATCAAAAACATGTAGTGGCTGATCAACTTTGAGATGTTCCTAAGGTATTCTACTTACATAGTGGAAATACTTACCATAACCTAGAAGGAGCGACCTGTGAAGGAGCCGTTTTCACTATTTACACAGAAGACGATACAGAGCTCAAATAACTGGTCAGGCAAGTAAGTAACAGTGCTGGGAATTAAATTCTGGTGTCCTGATTTACAACCGGCAAATGCAATGTAATGAACTTAAGTTCACGTCCTTGCAGGAACCCCTTCTATAGGGAGCATAACCAAAGGGTATACCAAGCTTCTCCCTAGTCTCAATGTTAAACAACACCCTAGTGCTCACATTTAGTACCTGGTTAGTAATGGTCAATGAAAATTTAGGTAGCAAGAGCATGCATCTCAATCATTCTCATCCTCTGTATAATGTAACATTCAGGTCATCTAGGGGAGGCTAAGGAGTCCTTCTCTCCCTCCACATGTAGCCACCACAGAGATACTAAACAGTCTTAGGAACCATGGCTACTCTTGCAGCATACAGAAGAGACCTTCCAGTGAAAACATTACTAAAGGCAGGTACTGGTTATGGAGAGGACTGTGGTGATGCTGTGAAGAATGACTATTATATTTGAGATCTACTAGAACAAGCGGATACACAGTTACAGTGGGCATAAAGGGAAAACCAATTGTAGCTTACAGTCTATCTCCATTTCTGTCTATCCTGTTTTATAACAGAAATTCTAATGATGCTTTCTTTCTCTTTAAACAAAATTACCCTCAAAGAAGTAATTTTTACAAATAAGAAAAGCTCTTCCACATTTTACTTCTATATTAAAGTTGAATATGCTCTCTTGTTCTGTGTCTTGCTGTTTTCTTGGTCAAACCAGACCACATGACAGTATCTCTCTCAAGACTATATATAATTCAGTGATCCCATAAGGATTTGAGTCTCTACTATATTGTAGGTGCTGCTCAAGAGGCTGGGAACAAAGCAATGGACAAGCAAGTTCCTGCCTCTGGTGTAACTGCCATCCTGCCCCCAGCTTGGGCTTCATGTCATCTGTGTCTGACACTAGGGAGTAATGGCATTACTCACTCTGTACATGCAGCTCCTTGGCCTTGGTCACCAAGGACATTAAGTCGCAAGTTGTTTGCACAGCAGCTCGGAACCGACTTAGCCCTCCCTTCTGTGAGGTAGGAGCTAGTTTAGGATGGGGAACAGTGCGTGCCAAAAGGTGGTCTAAATAGCGAGCAACTTCATCACCACAGCGAGCTGCAAGGTTAGTTGGGGAAGGGGAAGAGACAAAAATGAACATCTTAGTTACTTCCAGATCTGCCCCAGCAGTCAGAATGACTGGCTCTTAGACCTAAAACACTATTTCAGAAGAAGGCTGTTCTTAGTTCCTGGGGGAAAACCCTTGTGATTGTTGTATAAACTCATAGAGTAAGATTTAGAGGCTACAGCTATTTACCAGGACCCACCCGCTCTTCAATTTTGCTGAGACATGGGTAAAGTTACTGAGAGCTGAAAGAAGCATGAGCTTGTTCTAGAAGAAGTAGAGCAAGTGTTTTGTCATTTGTGTGTGTGATGGCAGTGTTGGCCGAAGGGGGACAGCAGTGGAGAAGGAGCAGGACAGGCCCTTCGAGTCCTACTAGTAGAAAGAGACTTTTGTGGAGAAAGGTCAGGGAAGGGCAAAATTCTCCCACCACATACTGAGTGAGCTGTAAAAGGAGTCTATACACACTAGTTCTAATCACTAACAAAAAAGCATCTTTACATTGCCTTTTAGCCACCTCATCTTTTATTCATTCACCAAATACGTGTTATTACTACAGAGCAGGCAGTGTCTTAGGCACTGAGAATTGTTGCACAAAGTACATATGGTCTCTATTGTCTTGGGCTCACCTCTGCCATACATCTTACACATACGTCCAGCCCCATGGCTTGTGGGTCACATGCAGCCAAGGATAACTATGAATAAGGCCTGATACAAAATCAAGAACTTACTCAAAGCATGAGGGGTTTTTTAATTCTACTGCATGGTTCTTGAGCATGACCTGGGTAGATAATGACATCATATCACAATGGCAAAGGTTGGACACATCTATAATCATCTCCGCATACAAATACTGGAAATGTATGAACAGTCATAATGTTTACAGTTAGGGAAGTGCTGGGATCAGTACCAAAGCTGGCTAAGTCTGTCATACATCATCTGGTTCTGGACAATCTTCAGTGACCTCTTCAGAAGTCCCTCTGTGATCTAATGTGACTAATGGGACTAGCAGAGATTTTAAGAATAGAACTCAAATTCAGTGACATCCTAGTGACAGGTATTTTAACTTTGAATATAATCCAGATACATCTAGATACTTGAATAGAGGGATATCAATTTCATTTAATTTTCAAAATGGTTTATACAAAAAGAAATACTAAGCAAATAAAGAGGGATATAAAGTAAACAAAAAATAGTACTTGGTGCTTCTAATGTGTTGGCTTATTCTATGAGACTACGCTTGTTAGTATCTTAAGATAGATGATAAGTCAAATACCCAGACAACAAAGACAAGTCCACCAAGATTTAGATAGTTAGAAGAACCATTCTCTTACTGACCATTCTCTTGTGAAGATTCAAACAAGGTAATATTGTCTTGCAAAGGTCAGTGTTTCCCAGTCATTTTAAATCCATGCTATCAGAATGCTTGCTCATGGCATCGATTACATACATTATTCGTCTCATTTGTCACATAAAAGCAATGGGCTTTCTGAACAGACTTTGTCAAACTACAGAGACCTCCTCAGAAATATCAATACATGTCTCTAATATTATGTAAAATATAATTTCTTGAATTATGTGAAACTTTAAACATAACTCTAACCAAATTTCATATTTTATGCTTTTTAATGCCAAAAGTAATATATAAATATATGTGTGTATTTATGTATGATGTTTTCAACTGCACTATTGATTAAACATTTTTTACTTACCATTGTTTCTTCCCATTTCAAATCACTAGCTACTTCAAGTGCTCAAGAAAGAAATCCTCCCTAATGTTAGTAAGGCATTAATTATCTAACGGCATACTCCACAGTCCGTCACCACAGAGATAGGAGACCAGAGACCAGAGAGAAGTAGAGGAAAGAGAAGTGAAGCCAAACAAAAGTGGGACTCTAATTGGATTAAAGGCGAGTGAGGATCGTACACTATGAGACTGCTGGGAACAGGAGTTGTCAATGATGAAGCTAAACCATCGTTTGTGTTCTGTCTGGCCAGCCAGTGCTGTTTAAGGTTTCCTTACCATTACTTGTTGAATCATAGCTATCCATCCAGTTGCCAGATTCCAGCTCATCATAGTCTTCATCATAATCTTCACTGTACAGCTTTCCCTCAGGCCCAGGGTCCATGAAGCTTAAGTGTGTGCAGCAAGATGTCGTCAAAAACTCTGACAATTTACCTGTCTGGATCCTTACAATTACAGGGTAGATAGAAAACAGAAAATCAGGGAATATCTTTTTAAAAGATACACAAATAAGCCCCAATTGTCACGAAAAGAATGCTTAGCATGTTCTAACATGTTAAGGACAGGATTTGTAAAGAAAGACCACTCATTAGAGTTCACAATCCTCCAACAGATTTGTTCTACCTCTCTTCCATTGCTGTACACTATGTTGAATGTCTGCTAAAAACACTGCATTATCTATTAGAGAAGTAGATAGAGAATGAAGAAAAATCACACTAATCTATCATATTTAAAAAAAGACCTTCGGGGCTGGAGAGACTGCTAAGTGGTTAAGTCTTGCGGGCCGCAAGAATATATCATAGAGATTCAGCTGTGTATTAAAGCTGAACTTTGACCAGCCAAGGGTCTGTCAAAAGGCAAAGCCATTTATGATGAATATTTGGTGTTACCCAGCCTTTAATATTCCAGCTGTCTTCTGCTATGCAATCCTTGTGTGCCCAGACCAATTGGTAAACAGTTCAGCTCCCCAGACCTGCTGAACTACTAAGTTACTAACTCCCCTGCTGAGCTTAGGAGACAAGCTGGCGGGAGACACATAGCTTTGTTTCCTGTGCTAATGAAGCTCAGACCATCCCCCTCGTGGTTCTCCAGAGTATTTTGACTGAGAACAAAAGAGGTTTTACATATCAAGGTGAGAGGTAAAATAACATTCCTGAGGAGGCAGGGAACCACGTGCCCAGGGAAAGAAAAGGCAGGCATTTTCTGTAGGAGAGACAGAACAGCATGGTGAGAGAGAAGAGCGGATGACAGAGGCTCCATAGAGGGTGAGCAGATCTCGAGTAGAGTTTTCTGAGTGCCAGGAGTAGAGAGCAGAAGAGATGGAGAAGGAGGATACAGAGGACGAAGATGAGGCTGGAAGCATAGGAGTTTAGTCGGTAGCAGGGCTATGAGCTGGGGAACTGGACAGAACTGCAGTTATGGAGACAGGATTTCATCCCAGAGAAATAATGTAGACAGATAAAGAGCTTGGTATGTCTAGAGTTGTTCCTGCCTTGAATGCCTGGTGGAACTATAGCTGAATTGATGTAATTTTGTCTTAGAGGAATACAGTTAACAGACATAAGAATATAGTGTACGTAGATTTTTTTCCCCCCTGATATTCCATGCCAGACATACAAAGCCCCCCCTGGACCCTGAGGAATTCAATAGTTAAGAGCACTGGCTGCTCTTCCAGAGGACCTGGGCTCAATTCCCAGCAGCCACATGGCAGCTCACAGCTGTCTGTAACTCCAATTCGAGGGGATCTGATCTCTTATGGCCTCTGTGGTAATCAGGCATGCACACAGTACACAGACATACATGCAGGCAAAACTCTCATATACATAGAATAAAAATAATAAGAAATCTCAAAAAATTTTAAAAATATCTGCTTCCATCAGTCACTGGATATAGGTTCTATGATGACAATTAGGGTAGACATCAACCTGAGTGCAGGGGAGGGATAGTTCTAGAACCCTTTCCACCATTGCTGAGTCTTACCTAAGGTCATCTTTGTGAGTTCCTGGGGATTTCCCAAGTTCCACATTTCTCCCTAACCCTTTAATGGTTCCCTCTGTCAAAATATCTCTTTCATTGCTCTCCTTCTCTGTCCCTCCCCCAACTCGGCCATCTGGAACCCTCACATTCCCACCTCCCACCCCCCTCCTCTGTACTCTCCCTTCCCAGTTTATCCAGGAGATCTTAACCATTTCCCCTTCCTGGGGCAATCCATGCATGTCCCTCTCAGGGTCCTCCTCTTTACCTAGTTTCTCTGCGGTTGTGGACTGTAGCCTGGTTATCCTTTGCTTCGCGTCTAATATTCCCTTAAGGGTGAGTACATACTGTGATTGTCATTCTGGGTATGGGATTATAGGAGCAAAGAGGGTCAAGATCATAAAAGGAAAAACCACAAAGACAGCTGACTCAAGCTGGTGGGAGCTCATGGACTCTGAACTGACAGCTGGGGAGCCTGCATGGGACTGCACTAGGTCCTCTAAATGTGGGTGACAGTTGTGTGGCTTGATGTGTTTGTGGGTCCCCTGGCAATGGGACCAGGACTTATCCCAGGTACACAAACTGGCTTTTTGGAGCCCATTCCCTATGGTGCAATGCCGTACTCAGCCTTGATGCAAGGGGGAAGGGCTAGGTCCTGCCCCAACTTGGTATGCCAGCCTTGTTGACTACTCAAGGGAGGCCTTACCCCCTATGAGGAGGGGGTGGAGGAGGGATGGAGAGGAGGTGGTGGGGGAGTGAGAGAAGGGGAGGGAGGGGGAACAGGGGTTGGTATGTAAAATGAAAAAAATTTAAATGAAAAAAGAACCCCCCCCCCACAAAAACAAAACAAAACACAAAAAAATTTTAAAAATACTATCAAAAGACCATTTTGGACATAGACAATATTTGAAAATTTTATACATTGTAATAAATTAAGTTGAACCATATAATACTCCACTTAATGAGCCAATTACAAAACTACAAACGAAATTAGTATTATTAATTTTCTAAAGAAGTCAGTTTAAAGAGGCTACCAATGGCCAAACTTTGGATAATTTGAAAAAGGAAAGAAATAATGACAGGAATGGGTCATAGTATTTTGAATAAAATAAGAAGCCAAAGAATATAGATTAATAATAAACCACAAATAAGATAATTTTTATATAAAAAATTCCAATCATAGATGGATACCAAGTCACAGAAACACTGTCAAAATGAGCCTTGGTTTATATGTGTGTATGCAGACTGACAAACTTTTAGAAGGCTATTTTACAACTCAGTAATAGTTCCTCCATGCAAGAATCAACAGAAGTGGATGCTCAGGTGCCTCCTGAGATGATAGACTGACCGCAGTGAATTCTTATAACCGTGTGTGCTGTTTCAGCGTCTATCTCAATCTAAACTTACCTTCCTCAGATGATAAGCAGGGCTCAAGCATTCCTGACAGTTTCCTGTGCTACCTCTCCCCTGGTTCAGCGTTCAGGTCACTTACCTTGCCCCACCAAAATAGCCATCCTGCATTTTTCGGAGTGCTGCCAGGATACTTGAATTCAAGCTGGTTCCATCTTCATCTTAAAAGGGAAAGATTATAAAACAACATTTGTTGTTTTAACTTAGAACTAGAGGGAAATCTTTCAATTATTTCCAACCAACACTGTACTGGTAGCACCACAAATGAGACGCCCCATATTGACCACCCTGTGCTTCAACGATTAATGCGGATCAACATCATGTAGAATGGGCAAATGGTAAAGACCAAGTCCTTCAAAGGCAGTACCTTGCTTATCACAAGTCTGCAGCACTGTTAACAACATCAACTATTTATCAAATGTTTATGACACATACTATTGACGAAGCAGCCTGCCTGTATCCTAGGCTACTAAGCTATCTTACAGTGAAAACAAACTAGGTTCCTTCCTGTTTATGACTAAACCTCTATGACCCACTTACAACCTTAACTACACATGGTTCTGTCCTGCCTGTTCCAGGAAACGGCAACTGTGTCTATGTTTCAAACAGTTGGTTTCGCTTGTTTGATTTGGTTTTCTTGAGACAGATTTTCTCTGTGTAGTCCTGGCTGTCATGGAACCTTGAACTCAGGCATCTGCCTGCCTTTGCCTCCGGAGTGCTGGGATTAAAGGCAAATTTCACCACTGTCAAGCTTCAAAAAGGTGTTTTTGTTTACTTTTGTTTCAAAAGGTTGCTATGAGTATGCTGTTATGACCGCTTTGTAATGCTGCTCCTGTAACCTTGCTTATCTGCTTGCCAAATGCCCCATTTGGCAACCCCCCTAGCCCTGAGCTATGAGACCTCTTATGTTCCTCACATCCCAGGCTGACCTCTTGAACTCCACCTTAGGGGGAGGCAGCCCATGTACGTGAGTAAAAAAGCTTGCTTTAATTAATTTGTCCATGATGATGTGGGTTGGTGGTTTTTCTCCTTGAATCATTTGTGGGGGACCAGCCCCCACTTTCCCCCAGAGTACTCTTAAGGAGTGAGGGGTAAGAGATTTAGAAAGAAGTGTAGAGGGGAGAGAAAAAGAAACACCAGGCAGCACCGGGAGGGCCTGGGTCCTTATTCACCCGCCCCTTCTGTCTCTTCTAAAGGGCATTTTATGGAAATGCCAAGGGGTGGAGCAAAAGACCTCGCCCTAGCACAGCCAAGTGCAGACCCTTCCAAACACCTGGTAACCATGCCTATGGTCAATCCATCCCCTGATGCAGCCCCGTTGGGTAAAGCAAGCTCAGATCTCAACCAGGATACCTCTGTGGGCTCCCACAATCATTGGGATTAACATTATGATAAGCATCTTATAGATGACCAAAAAGCAGATTGGGGAGAAAAGGGTTTATTTGGTTTATACTTCTACATTGCTGTTCACCACTGAAGGAAGTCAGGACAGGAACTCAGACAACTCCTGGAGGCAGGCGCTGATGCAGAGGCCATGGAGGGGTGCTGCTTACTGGCTCGTTTCCCATGGCTTGCTCATCCCCACCTTCTTATAGAACCCAGGACCAGCAGCCTAAGGATGGCACCACCCACCATGTGCTGGGCCCTCCCCCATTGATCACTAATTGAGAATATTCCTTACAGTTGGATTTCATCAAGACATTTCCTCAGCTGAGGCTCCTTCCTCTCTGATGACTCTAGCTTGTGTCAAGTTGACACACAAAACCAGCCAGTACAGATGGTATCATGCATAATGTGCCTTGATGTGTGTGTGTGTGTGTGTGTGTGTGTGTGTGTGTGTGTACATAAAATCTTCTGGAAGGGTAATAATTATCTGATTTTTATATGAAACTGATGATAGTCTTGTGATTTGCCTTTTCTAATTTGTCCTTTCTAATAGCACTCAAGAGGCTGACGTAGGAGGGCCATGAGTTCAAGGCCAGGTTGGTTTGTATAATGAGTTCCACAACAGCCTGGGCTATATAGTGAGGCTTTGCTTCAAAAACACAAAACAAAATAACAAAAACCAATAAAAGCCAGACATAGTGGTGCATATCTGTAATCTCAGTACTTCGGAGGCAGCAGCAGGCTGATCAGGAGTCCAGAGTCAGCCTGAGTTAGATATCAGGTTTGAAGACAGATTAGGCCGCATAAGATGCAGTCTCAGACATCAAACAGGGTCAGTGAGCTGGCTCCATGGGTAAAAACACCTGCTGCAAGCCTGACCACCTGAGTTTGGTCCCTGGACACATGACAGAGGGGGAAGAGCAACTTGTGCAAGCTGTCCTCAAACCTCCACACAAGAGCCATTACATGCACCCACACGCGCACATTCACTACATAAATACATAAATCAAGCAAAACAAGAACAAATACAGGAAACAGAATAGCTAGGCACAGTGGCTAATGCCTGCATCTCAGCATTTGGGAGGCGGAAGTAGGAAAACTGCTATGAGTTCAAACCAGCTTGGTGAGATTCAAGTCAGCCTTGGGCCATAGAGTAAAACTGTCTCAAAACAATTAAAGAGCAAAAAGAAAAGAAAGGCAAATCAAACAGAACCAAACAAAGTGCCTTTTGCATCATCTCTTTCTATTTTCAATATAAGCAGTGCAGGGCATTACCTCTTCACCTCACACGTGCAGTAATTTCCTTGATGTCAGTCTATATGACGACAGTCCTGCCAGCAACTAAAATCGTTTCATGTCACCCCTTACTGAAAAACGTTTGGAAGCTTCAACTTCTTATATACCTTGTTTTGAATGTCTCTGCTTATTTTCAAAGAAGTTTTCCTAATCTGATCCCACCTTTCTTTGCCAGCTTTGTTTACCACAGTATCTCAGCTGTTCAGTTGGTCTCTTCAGCAGCCTCCCACACAGGCTCATTTCTCTGCCCAGGCCTTGTTCATGGCATTCCCCACCTCAGTTAAGATCTCATTCTTCTTTCCTCCTCCTATGTGAATATTAACAATTCCATGGGCAGGAGAGATGATTCAGTAGTTAAGGGCACTTGTTGCTCTTGTGGAGGACCCAGGTTCTGTTCCCAGCACCCACATCAGGTGCTTCACAAAACCTGTGCCTCCAGCTCAGGGGGTCTGATAACATTTTTTGACCTCTGTGGACACATGCTCATATGTGTGCACTCACATGTATTAAAAAAATTGTGTTAAAAACAAAAACCAAAAAAGCAAACCCCAAAGCCTACGACCCACATCAGCTGAAATTTTTCCTTTGGTACCTTGATAACTTTCAGTGCTTTAGTAATCTGTAATGAACTGTCTAGAATTTGTCTTCTAGTATTATCATCTATTAACTGCCTTCTAAGTTAAACTGTACACTATCTCAAGACAACTGTGAGAATACATTAGTTATTAAATGGGCACTTGCTAATTGTCCCAAGTAAAGCAAACAGACAAAAGAACAAAGACTACCTACTTTCTCAGCCCCTGTTCTTTTGCAGCCCTTTTCAGATGTGGCCAAAATTCCTAGCAGTCTGTCTGGATTCTAAATTACTCGCGGGATAAAGGGTTCTTTTTCATGCAAAGGAATTCTATGCACTTTGGCAGTACACACAGACCTTTGGAAGCAACAGCAGAGACAGAAAGAAAGCAGCAGGAACTCAGAACAATAAAGCCTTTCCTTGTGAGGAAGCATCTCTCCCTGCCCCCAGTACAAACCAAAAACCTTTGCACTCTCCCCTCCTAGATCTTACTTCTTCAGTAAGACAGGCTTTGGAAGGAGAGGCTTGGGAACTTCCCTATAAATCTTGATGCTCCGCTGGAATAAAACAGATGCAGGATGTACTAGTACTCTCTCTAAAAAGAATTGTACAATGTAATTTTTGGAAAACTGGCTCAGAAATCAATGATCAAAAGCTAGTCTCTGCTCCATTTTTACATTATGGCTCTCAAACCATGTGAACTATTCTTATGCATCCATTTGCTTCATATTTGTCATCTGTCTTTACCTGCTTAAACGTAAGCTTGACTAGAACAGAAACCTTACCTGCCCATCACCCTGTGCATCCAGAGCTTAGGAAACTGTCTGGCACAGAAGATGAGCTGGTGCATGCTGCTCTGCGGTGGGATGCTGAAGGACTACACATACGACTTATTTCACTCATTCCCTTACCGAGCATGGTGTGTGAGATGGGGAAAGTGATGGTGGGCTGGCCTGTCATCCTCCAACGGCTACAGAGGTAGGAGAGATCGGTTCTAAGCATTTCTACTATCATCTTGTTGTCCAGAGCCAGGTAGAACTGTTGCTGGTCTATAAACTAAGAAAAGGAAAAACAATCATTCAGAAAAATTTGCTCTCACAAATATCAAATAATATTCTTCAATGTTCACTTATTCATAAAGCATACATGTCACAGAGGAAACAGTAGTCTCAAATTTAATGCCTAATAATTCCCAAAGTACATGGTGGTCAATGGTATGCACAACAATAGTTTCTGATTTTTTTCTTTTTCTTTTGGATTTCCTGAGACAGAGTTTCTCTGTGTAGCTTTGGCTGTCCTGGAACTCAGCCTAGTCTAGAGAATCTGAACTCAGAAATCCACTTGCCTCTGCCTCCTGAGTGCTGGGATTAAAGGGGTGCACCACCACTGTCCTGCTAGTTTCTCATATGTTTAAAGTGTGTGACTGCCTACAATCTTTTCAAGTATATAATTTCATTTAATCCTACAACCACCTAGTACAGGCAGCTGCTCCTCTCCTTCCTCCCATTCTTCCTAATTTCTCATTATGTAGTTTAGGCTAGCTCTGAACTCAAAATGTCCCTGCTCCAATTCCTGTGTTCTGGGATTACAGGCATGCACCACTATTCTCAACTTGGCGTTTTTCTTTTACTATGAAGAATAAGACTCAGAGACAGTATGTAGACTAGCACACACATCTGATTAGCAAGTGGAAATGTCAGAAATAGAGTCTAGGATAAGTTCATCCTTTGTCTACGTCTATCTTAGATGCCCTGTTTTAGATATAACAGAGAAGTAAAATTTTCCTTCCAGAACATATTTACTGTGCTACTAGGGATCCAACCTTGGCCCTTGTGCATGTTTAGCAAGTACTTTACCATTAAGCTCCATCTTCAGCCCTTAACTGAGACAGAATATTCCTACGTAGCTCATACTGACCTTGCTAACACGTTGCCTAGGTTGGCTCTGAATGCACTGACGCATCCTCCTAAGATCTGGGACTACAAGCATGTGACACCGTGCTTGGTTTCCTCCCCAGAAAATAATTTCTACTACCATACACATACACAATTGATCGTAGCTTCATTATTATGTAGCTAACAAACGTAAGTGTGGTGACATATTGTGTACCCTAATAAAACTTGCCTGAGGATCAGAGGACAGAGCCAGCCACTAGATTAGACACAGAGGCCAGGCAGTGGTGGCACACACCTTTAATCCCAGCACTTGGGAGTCACAAGCCTTTAATCCCAGCACTAAGAAGGAAGTGATATGGCTGGGCGGAGAAAGGTATATAATGTATGAGGAGACAGGAACTAGGCCTTTTCAGCTGAGAAGACTATTTCAGCTGAAGCCCTTTTGGCTGGAGCTCTTTCAGGCTAAGGAGTTGGTGAGGTTAGAGGTGGTGGCTGTGGCTTGCTTTGCTTCTTTGATCTTTCAGCTTTCACCCCTGTATCAGGCTCTGGGTTTTTTTTTTTGTTTTTTTTTTTTTTTTTGGTTTTTCGAGACAGGGTTTCTCTGTGTAGCTTTGCGCCTTTCCTGGGACTCACTTGGTAGCCCAGGCTGGCCTCGAACTCACAGAGATCCGCCTGACTCTGCCTCCCGAGTGCTGGGATTAAAGGCGTGCGCCACCACAGCCCGGCTCTGGGTTTTTATTAAAAGACCGTTTAGCAACTCGTGTTACACATCCAGCCACTAATCTGTATAATTATGGCCTAAGAGTCCTGATATTTTTAAAAAGAGGACATTGAAGATTTCTATGTAAATGAAAGGGCTCCTTCACAATAGGGAACATGTAATTTAGCAGTTAAATAAAGTAGATTCTGTTTCACTCATAAAGGACAAATACAGTCTTAGTTTAATTTCTGAAAATAAGGAAAATGCTGTAAGTCCCTAAATACTTGGAAAATCACAGTCACAGTTCAACACCCGGAACTACTCTTGGTAGTAACAGTCACTTGGCAAAGCTCTATGCAGCAAGTTCAATTCAACAGTTATCAAGCCATTTAATATATGCAAGGCCCTGTGAGACTGCGACTAATCCAATTCCAGCCAATGCTTTATTTCTGCAGTCCCTCTCCCTCTTATTTCCATTCATCTCAACGCATGTTGCAGCTTATCCCACTCACCTGTGGAGTGAAAGTAAAGATTGTTTTGCGAATGTCATAGAGTTTTGACGTTCCAAGCACACCCATGAGCCTGTAGGGTCGTCCACTGAGTTTCATTCTACTGTTGCATCCTGACACAGAATCGAGAAATGGTCAGGATATTCTTAGAGTACAAATGAAAGCAATATTTGTTTACAGATACACACAATGTATGTATATACAGAGACACACATCTATCTGATTTCCTTCAGTTTAAAGTGTCTTCATTTTATGGTTTAGCTTTCTAAAATTAGAATCTATTTTGTAATCCATATCTATGTTAAATACATTATATGTTACTATAAATATAGAACTATATTAAATACAGTTTTAGATACAATACGGGAATTGTTCATTCACTGACAATGCATTTTTCCTATCACCAAAGGAGAAAAATACTTTACATATTGTTCTAAAACGTTTTTCCTCCCACATACATTGAATACCCTTTCTTGTCAGTAACGATAGAACCCCTACTACCTGTTTTTGGCTACAACACATTTTCCTGAGTACTTGACTTGCTATCTTTACCAAATATGCTGCCTTTTCCTGCACGTGTGTGTGAGTACACATGCAGGTTTCCAGTGGAAACCCTTAGATGTCATCCTCAGGAATGTCATTTATCTCCTTTTGAGTTCCAGTCTCTCATTAACCTAGTCCACCAATTAGGCTAGACTTGGGGGCCAGTGAGCCCAGGATCCTCCTGTCTCTGCTTCCCACTGCTGGGACTGGAAGCATGCATACCATTCCCGACATTCTTATGTTTATGCAGGGGATCAAACTCAGGTCCTCACGATTGCGAGACAAGTGTTTCATCAATTGAGCCACCCCTACCCACCACCCACCCCCGCAAACCCTTAAACATGCTACAACTTGTTGCTTCAACTTGTAAGGGAGCAGACCAGAGAATGCTCAATTCCAAGTTCCACTGAATAAAGCACATATTTGCTCTGGGATAAATATCAAGACTAGGTTTATTAATGAATTCGTATTAGTAAAATCTTAACTATTATTGCATATGGAGTGTGTGTGTGCATGCATACATCTGCACACATGCTCATGACATGACACACATGGAGGTCAGAGGGCAACCTCTGTAGCTGGTTCTTTTCACTCTGGGTTTCTGGGATCAAATTCAAGTCATCAGGCTTTTGTGGCAAGTGCTTTTTCCAGCTTAGCCATCGTGCTGGCCTTTGCTAGTATCTTTTTTATCACACTAAAATATGTGTAACATAAAATTCATCATTTTAGTAATTTTAGGAGTACAGTTTAGTGACTTTAAATACATCGTTGTGTAAATGCCACCACTGTTCACCTCCCAGAACTACTTCATCTTTTCAAACTGAAACTACACCCATTAAACTTACCAGTTCCCCTCTCCTCCCAGGCTCTGACTATAAATTTCTACTTTGTGTCTATGAATTTGACTACTCAACTAGAATCATAAATCTCTTTCCTTTTAAAACTTTTATTTCACTCAACACAGTATCTTTGAAGTTCATATATGTTATAGCACATTAGAATTTCCTTCCTTTTTAAAGAAGGAATATTCTATCCTATGAATATGCCCCCTTTGCTTTTCTATTCAATCGTTGATGGATATTTGGAGTGTTCCCATTTTTTTTTGCTACTGTGAACAATACTGTACAGTAATGGAGAAAATACCTATTCAACTTCCTCATTGCGTTCCTTTTGCACATATACTTAGAATTCCTGAATCATATACCTATTTTAGGTTTAACTTTAAAACTTAGATTTATTTTTGTTTTATGTGTACAGGTGTTTTGTGAGTCTAGTGTCAAAAGAGACCAGAAGAGAGTACTGGATCCCCTGGAACTGGAGTTACAGATGGTTGTGAGCCATCGTGTGGGTGCTGGGAACTAAACCTGGTCCTCTACAAGTGCACGAGTGCTCTTAACCACTGAGCCATCTCTCCAGGCCCTCCCTATGTTGAACTTTTTAAGGAACCACCACCCTGCTATCCACAAATCTTCACCAACAGTCATTACAGTACCTGTTAAGTGGTATCTCATGGTAATTTTGATCAGTTTTGAATACTTTTTACAGATAATTTTTTTTTTTTTAGAATTTCACACAAGTATCATACTTGCACAATTTTCACCCCACCCACTCCTCCCTTAAACTTCTATGTCTCTCACACTCCCACTCAGATTCATGGCCTCTTAATTATTATCGTTACACATGCACACACAGACAAATATATACACATAAAATACACCCTTATTTAGTCCATTTAGGATTAGGGTTAGGGTTACTCAGGGTTAGGGTTAGGGTTTACCATTTTTATTAAATTTTGTTTTGGTGTACATTCATTGGACAAAGAAATGGGTTTTATAAAGAGAATTTCTTTCAAGTATCAATTATTTTAACCATATGTGACCGCCATACCCTTCCTGTTTTCCTCCTCTGTAGCACGAATCTTTTTTTTTTTTTTTTTTGGTTTTTCAAGACAGGGTTTCTCTGTGTAGCTTTGCACCTTTCCTGGAACTCGCTTTGGAGACCAGACTGGCCTCGAACTTACAGAGATCCGCCTGCCTCTGTCTCCCAAGTGCTGGGATTAAAGGCGTACGCCACCATCACCCGGCTGTGTAGCACGAATCTTAACAAGCCTTATTAATAAAACAAACCTGAAGCTGGGTATTGGGGTGAATGCTGGAAGATCAGAGAAACAGAACAAGCCACAGCCACCTCACCTTGCCAATTCCTCAGCTGATCCTGTTTCCTCAGGCTGGAAACCTCTGTGTCCTCATCTGAATGGGTCTCAGCTGAATTGCTGCTCAAAAGCCTAAAAGCTTAACCAGCCTAGTCCCTGGTCCTCATGCCTTATATACCTTTCTGCTTTCTGCCATCACTTCCTGGGATTAAAGGCGTGAGTCACCATGCCTGGCTGTTTCCAGTGTGGCTTTGAACTCACAGCGATCCAGATGGATCTCTGCCTCTAGAATGCTAGGATTAAAGGTGTGTGCTAACACTGCCTACCCTCTATGTTTAATATTATGTCGGTTCTGTTCTCTGACCCCCAGATAAGTTTATTGGGGTGCACAATATATCAACCACACTTCTCCATATCCCCTCCTACCATTGACACCTTTTCTACTCCGGGTTTTTCTCTGCTTTCATGGCTCACAAACATAAATACTAAATACAAATAGTTTATGTATTTTATGTACCTTTAATATTTAGCTCCAGTTGTATCTGTTTTCCAGACAATAAAATAATTCCAATTTTCATTAATTTCTTTCATTAACATTTGTCATTTTTAGCAAATGAGTCTTTTACTTATTTGATTATATTCATTCTTACTGTCTTTGAAACAACTATAAATGTGTTTTGTTGATTTCCTTTTTGGTTCATTTATTTTTAATGTATAGAAATGAAAATATGTGATTTTATATCCTATATCTTTGCTGAATTTATTAGTTCTAACAGGCTCTCTCTCTCTCTCTCTTTCGTTTTTTTCTGTGTAATGGTCTCCGGTTTTTCAAGACAGGGTTTCTCTGTATAATAGCCCTGGCTGTCCTGGAACTCACTTTGTAGACCAGGCTGGCCTCAAACTCACAGAGATCCACCTGTCTCTGCCTCCCAAGTGCTGGGATTAAAGACATGCACTACTGTTGCCCAGCTTCTAACAGGCTATTTTATTTATTTATTTATTTATTTATTTATTTATTTATTTATTTATTTATTTCATTCATTCATTCAGTTATTATGTATACAGTGTTCTGCCTACATGCCAGAGAGGGCACCAGATCCAGTTATAGATGGTTGTGAGCCACCATGTGGTTGCTGGGAATTGAACTCAGGACCTCTGGAAGAGCAGTCAGTGCTCTTAACCTCTGAGCCATCTCTCCAGCCCACTAAAAGGCTTTTTCAATACATGTGAAATCTTTAGATTTTTTTTCCCTATCAGAGCACAAATGAACACAGATCATTATTTCAATTCTTTATTTATGACTGGATATATTTTTTTCTTGTTTAATTGTTCTTGGAGAACTTCCAATACTATATTAACAGAGGTCTGTGTATCTGAACCAAACTTATAATTCCTGCACACAGAAGACTGAGGCAAGAAGACCGAATAGCAGGTAGGAGGACTTGAGTTAGAAGCCAGCCTGGGCTACACAGTGAGGCATTCTCTCACAAAAACAAGGAGGAGGAGGAGGAGGAGGAGGAGGAGGAGGAGGAGGAGGAGGAGGAGGAGGAGGAGGAGGAGGAGGAGCTGTTTGTCTAGATATTTTTTCTTTGTCTTTTTGTTCATTTATTCATTTTAGTTTCCTAGGCTTCCTAATGTGTCTTCTAATATTTTCTTCTCCTTTTTTTGTCTATTCTTAGTATAAGGACTAAAAACACTACAAGGTATTCCATTATACCTGGAGCTAAAATTCTGCTTTTTAAAATTTTTTACGGTGTTTGCATGATATATGTGAATGTATGTGCCAAGGCACACATGCATGGGTCAGAGGACAACTCTGTGGTGTTGGATCTTTCTTTCCAACTTCATGTGGGTCCTAAGGCTTGCTCAGGAAGTTTCTTTATCTTCTGAGCCATCTCACTGGCCCTGAAATCCTGCTTTTAATTGGGGTACAATATATCAAAAATTTAGCATCTTTTCTTCTGTACTTTCTTTTATTATCATCAGTCTTTGGAACTATATTGAATGAAGTAATTCAGACCCAGAAGATAAATGTCATGGTTCTCTCTCATCTGTGGTTCCTAGCTCCAACCCTTTAGATGTGAGTATACAACCTGGAGTAACTGCAGGAACCAGGGAAGTAAAAACGGACTACTGCTTGACACAGAGAGCAATAGAGAAGAGAATAGCAGGGTGTAACTGATCTGCTAAGATAGGCATGAAACTGGATTATGAGAGGCTACTTACTAAAATGGGACGTATCACTATGTTGCACAAAGTAGACTGCAATGTCTATGAGAACATTTTTCTAAAAACAAGTGCCTTTATAAAAGCTTAATATAAACAAAACCCCACAAACAAAAATGATGGCTTCTTTAGTGGTTAAATTATAAGTGTTTTAAAATCTTTTTTTTCTAGGTTCTTTTCTATATTTTTTTA